TTATACACAATAGCTCTTTATAGCCACTGACTCGTTTCCTTACCACTTACGTTCTGTTGAATATATGAAACATAAGAAACGTCATCTGCATGTGAATTTGAACAAATTTCTTTTCAAAGATGCATCAATTGCTTGTATTTATTATGTACAAATTTATATTATGGCAGGTTCATTTTCTTACCAATTTACTTCACCTGGAATCCATTATTATAGCAGTGGGTATGTTGATGAGGCCCACTCCATTGTTCTCCAAGGAGTCATTAACGTTCTACCAGCTGAAAGCAGGCACATTCCCCTGCACCTGTCTGTGGGCAGCACCGAAGCCACATACGCTCAGGGTAAGAGCTAAAGATGGACACCCTGTGACTCTGGTGACCCGGGCATATTTAATCTTTCTGGAATAGGATGCAGTTGACTGGGTCCAATCCTGCTTCTGTCTCTTACTAGCCACAGGACCTGGAATAGGTCTGGACTACTTTGAGGCTGGAGTTTATTCTATTAATAAGGATCATATTAATGTTGTCTTGCCATTCTCCCTGAATCCTGTGTGCCTCAAATAAGATATAATATTAAAAAGTTCTGATATTCTGTACATGCCCCAAAATACATTAAACTATGAAATGATGTTATTTTTTTTATTTTCCCCTTGGGATCTGGCCTTAGACAAATTGAAGAATAAGTTAGTTTTATATTCACTCTTTACTGTATCGTCTTTGTCCAGGTCTTTCTTTTAACTTTGTACTGCCTGGGACCCCTCTTGTCTTTTTTTTTTTTAAAGGGGGTTTACTAGAATATAAACCACCATGGTCAAAATAAAGAGTAATGAAATTTGAAAACAGCTCTTACTTTAGAATATTATCCATGACTTACAGGCAGTTCTTTTGTCTAAAGGAGAACCTGTGAATTTGCACGTGGGAAGCTCTGTGACAGGCTGCCTAGCAACAGAACCCCTGTGTGGCCTGAACAATACCGGGGTTAAAAATTCAGATAAATTGCTCTTTGAGCTTTCAAGTTGTTTTTCACCATCTATCAGCAACATTAGTCCATCTACCGGAACAGTAAATGAACTGGTAACGATTACTGGACATGGCTTCAGTAATCTGACATGTGCTAATAAGGTAAGATTATATAAAGCTCTCCATTTTACTTTTATATACTCAATAAAAGGAAGATATTTTGTCTATAACCTCATAATTTAACTTCTAACAGCTTTATTGTGATACAATGCACATACTGTACAATTGACCCATTTAAAGTGCACATTTCAATCGCTTTTAGTATAGTCGTTACATATCTATCACCCCAATCAATTTTAGAACATTTTATTACCCCAAAGGAACCCTACACCTTTACCAGCGGTGGGGAACCTTTCTTCTGCCAAGGGCCATTTGGATATTTATAACATCATTTAAGGGCCATAACTTAAAAATTAGGGTGATGTATTTGGTCAAACATTTAATTAACTCACCCCTAATGCCTTGTCAAGGCCAGACCAAATGATGTTGTGGGCCTTATATGGGACGTTCCCCACCCCTGCCTTAAACATTACTCAAACCCCTCGATACCTCCCTGCCCTAAACAACCACTAATCTAATTTCTGTTTCTCTGGGTTTCCTATTCTGGTCATTTCTTATAAATAGAATCATACAATATGTCATTTGTGACCAGCTTTATTCACTAAGCATATCATTTTCAAGGTTCATCCATGTTGTACCACGTATCAGAACTTCATTTCATTTTTATGGCTGAATAATATTCTATTGTCTGACATACACATTTTATTTATCCTTTCATGAGTTCATGGATATTTGAATTGTATTCACCTTTTTGACTATTATGAAAACCTAGCTGTGGCCATTTATGGACAATCATAATTTAGTTTTAAGATTAATCCAAGATATGCCTTAATCAGTCCCCCAAATCAACTTTATGCATAAAAATGTGCACTTCAGTAATTTTTAAAACTGAAGTTGCTGGTAATACAAAATTTAACTTTGTAATAGAGAAGTGTATTGACCTATTTTCATATTCATTTTATTTTCAGGTTACAATTGGTAGCTATCCCTGTGTTGTAGAAGAAAGTACTGCCAATTCCATTGTATGTCATATTGACCCTCAAAACTCAATGGATGTTGGCATCAGGGAAATTGTCACTCTAACTGTCTACAACCTGGGCATTGCTATCAACACCCTGCCCAATGAATTCGATAGGCGATTTGTACTTTTGCCAAACATCGATATGGTGTTGCCAAATGCAGGATCAACTACAGGAATGACAAAAGTGACCATAAAAGGCTCTGGATTCTCAGTTTCTTCTGCAGCTGTCGAGGTCCGTATGGGCCGTTTTCCATGTGAAGTTCTATCAGTGAATTATACAACCATTGAATGTGAAACATCTCCTGCTCCCCACCAGCTTGTGACAATACAGCTTCTAATCCATGGAGTGCCTGCCCAGTGTCAGGGGAACTGCAGCTTTTCCTACTCAGAAAGCATCGCTGCTTTTATCACAAGCATCTCCCCAAATTCTATCACGGGATCTGTAAAAGCCCTTATTGAAGGAGAAGGTTTGGGCACTATCTTAGAGGACATTGCTGTTTTCATTGGTAACCAACAGTTCAGAGCTGTAGATGTCACTGATAATAACATCACTGTTCTTGTGACTCCTCTCCCGGCTGGACTTCATCCTGTTAGTGTTGTGGTGGGAAGTAAGGGCCTGGCCCTGGGAAACCTGAGTGTTAGCAGCCCCGCAGTGGCATCTGTCAGGCCGGCTTCTGGAAGCATTGGTGGTGGAACGACTTTGGTGATCACAGGAAATGGCTTCTATCCAGGCAAAACCACTGTCACTGTTGGGGATGAATCTTGTCAGATTATTTCTGTCAACACCAGTGAAGTCTACTGCCGCACCCCAGCAGGAGCAGCTGGACGGGTCAATGTGAAGATCTTTGTTAACGCAGTCGCTTACCCACCACTGTCGTTTACGTATGCCTGGGAGGATACGCCACTCCTCAGAGAGATTGTTCCAAGCACAGGTATCCCAATACCTACCTTTTTATTGTCTTGATATATTCTTGCTAATACTTATTAGCATAGATTTGGAATAATGTTTATAAAGGATTATTAAGATATATTTTTAGAAAACCCTGTTTAGGCCAGTTAATACATGGAATTCAAGTTCTGTGTAGTCTCTATTTTGTGATTATTTTTTGCACATTCTTGGGATAAAATTTTTAGTCAAATTCCAACTTCTATTCTGAAACAAAATCATCATTAACTTGACCCAAATTTCAAAATGAAAGAGAAATAGATAGATAGCTATGGACTAAAATTGGTAATTCATTTATGTCACTAAAGTTGATTGATATGGCACAGGAAACACCTGTTCAGTTCACAAGAAGTTGATCAAAACAACATAGAGAATTTTTTGGAATGCCTTGTTACTATGAAACTAAAATTGATTAACTTATTAACACAACAGAATCCTTTCAAAGAGGTAATTAGATCATCAGTTAAGAAACTAATATAAAATATAGATTTTCTTAATTTAGCGTGATTCATTTTTCCTAAGCTAATATAGATTGAGATGTCTTCTTGATCCTTTGTCTTTATGTTATGCTATTTCTGATCCTCTTCAAACTGTTGGAATGCTTATCATCTATGTAATAAATTCTGGAGAGGCAGCCATAGTATCATGGGTGAGAATGTGGTCTTGGTGCCTAGGTTCAAATATTGGTTCTTTTACTTTCTACTGATGAAACTACATGCCATTGATATGATAGAATTTAGAATGGTCCCTTTAATAAATAACTCATTAAGTGTTATCCGTTACAAAGTGTTTTTTAGTTTGTATTTCCAGCAAAGTGTCAAGTCTGGGTAAGCCGTGACACTCTTTCCCTATATATTTGTAGTCATTGCAAATGAACTAGATATTGGCATATGTGCCTTATTTCCACGAACCATTTATGTTTCATCTCTCTTTGAATGTCTCCTTCAAAACAATTTATTTGAAGACATAAGACTTGTAGGAAGTGCAATTGAGCTGTTTTATTTTCTAAAAAGACAAGGCAATAGGTCACACTTAGAACAACACTTCCATTTGAAAGGTGAAAATACCAGACAAAATTAAAAATTTAAGACCCTAATAACATTGTTTAGTTTATATCTTTAAAGTATTTTTAAGATCTCATTAATATTAGTGGCCTTTATTTTTTTTTTATATATTTTTATTGATTTCAGAGAGGAAGGGAGAGGGAGAGAGAGATAGAAACATCAATGATGAGAGAGAATCATTGATTGGCTGCCTCCTGCACGCCCCCTACTGGGGATCGAGCCCACAACTGAGGTATGTGCCTTTGACCGGAATCAAGCCTGGAACCCTTCAGTCTGTAGGCTGACACTCTTATCCACTGAGCCACACTGGCTAGGGCTATTATTATTAGTGGTCTTTAAAATGACAATATATATTTCAGTGATCTTTACTATGGTCAATTATATGATTATTTTTACTATTACCATTTTAATTAAAATCAAACTACTACTTGGTGATTCTGCATTGTAACAACTTATGTTATTTAATATCTACTCACTTAATACTTAGGTATGTAGGTCATCTGGATGACCTATGAAAAATTCCACGTGTTTAATGTCTTCAATGCATTTTTGTCGAAAGGAGGGGCAAGGGAACAGAGGGATTGAAGCACTTTGTTCTGTGTGCATTTATTCAAGGGATCAACCTTCATCTACAAGTCTTTAAATTAATTTACCATTTATCCTCAAAGAATTTCTAATAGCTGGAAAGTATCAAAAATGAAAACAAAATATACCCCCCACTCCTGCTTAGACATTCATACTTCCTAACTCTAGATCTATCTTCTCTTGTCCTTTCTTCTCCACTATCCTGAATTCGTAACTTACAACTCAGTAGAATGGACAGAAGGGGCTGGAAATTAATGAATGTAGTCATAGCTTATAGTTAATATCCCACAAACTGTAATGTATAAGACACACATGTTTTGTTGATATTTATATCCATTTTTAAATACTGGATATTATTTTTCTTTATGGAAGTAAATAGATATTTTTAAATAGATGTGTATTAGAATTTAAATTTATTTATATTGTTTGCTTTTCTTCTTGAAGGTCCACCAGGAACCAAAATTGAGATCACTGGATCAAATTTTGGTATTGATATCTTGGAAATTTCGGTGGTTATAAATAATATTCAGTGTAATGTAACCATGGTCAATGACAGTGTATTGCAATGCATCGTTGGAGATCACGCTGGTGGCACGTTTCCTGTTATGATGCATCATGAGACAAAAGGCTCTGCTGTGTCCACACTTGTATTTGAGTACCCACTTACCATTCACAATATTCAGCCAACCCAAGGTAGTCATGAGTGTGCGAAACCTACAAATATTTTATATTATTTCAGTAAATGCCTTATTTAGGGGGAAAAACACTCTTCAAAAATGTGTAGTTCTTTTAACACATTAAAAATATATTTGTTTATGCATAAAATAAATAAGCATGCAAAGGCATCAGTCATTTCAAAATATCAGTTTAATGCCTATATTTCTCCTAGTGCTATATAACTTATTTAAAAGTTAACCCTAATGAAAATGGCCAGGTTACATGTGGAAATTTCTTTTAAAATCATATTTAGATATCACTGGCCTGTAACTATTTACATAAATATTCTATTAAAAATTATTTTAGTTGTTCAAAAACCTTATGAAAGTATAAACAATGTGTTCTTAATTAAAATAGTAATTTTACATGCATGTGTTTATTGCTCTGAAATTCTTTGTGACATCTCTTTTAAAAAGATTTTCGTTTTCAGTAGTTTAAATAAATGACCAGATGTGACATTTACTCAGTGAAGATTTAAAACATTTCAATAGAAAGAGATTCTATTGCATTAATAGACTATATTATAAATATAATTTCACTTATGAAAATCTTTAATATCAGTTCTATTTCAGATGTTAAACTAAGGTTAAATATATACATATAATAGAAGAGGTTTCCTTTTCACCAGCTTTGTTTTTCCCTGTTTTGTCTTCACTAGGGAGCTTCGGTGGTGGTCAGACCATGACTGTGACAGGCACCGGGTTTAATCCACAAAATTCCGAAATATTAGTGTGTGGCTCAGAATGTGCAGTCGATAGGCTTAAATCTGATTACACAACATTGTTATGTGAAATTCCACCTTATAATGGTAAGTTGTCAGGAAAAAGAATGGCAGTTTTTGAGAAATGCTTAATTTTATGAAGATCAGAGACTGGGTTTCTTTTTTCCAAGTTTTTGTGTCTTTGGGGCAGTTGAATCACTCGATAGGCTTAAATCTGATTACACAACATTGTTATGTAAAATTCCACCTAATAATGGTAAGTTGTCAGAAAAAAGAATGGCAGTCTTTGAGAAATGCTTAATTTTATAAAGATCAGAGACTGGGTTTCTTTTTTCTCCTAGTTTTTGTGTCTTTGGGGCAATTGAATCATCTTTATAACTGTCCTGATTTTAAGCAATTTCTTCAGAATTTTATTGACATTTATGTGTTTCAAGATTCATATCATTTGGGTTAATTGAATTGTTTATCATAAATTGCAGTATTTCAGTTTATCGCCTATGGCTCTTGGTTTAATAAGCTGGCCAAATGGAGAAGACATGTTTCGTTCCCACTGGAGTACTAGATTTCCCTTGAAGATGAGACAGTGTAATGGTTATGAGTGTGAACTCTTATACTGCGTTGCCAAGAGGCAAACCCAAGCTGTGTCTTTGAGCAAGTTATTCAGCCTCATGCTGCCTCAGTTTCTTCGTCTGTAAAGTGAGAAGATGAGACAGTGTAATGGTTATGAGTGTGAACTCTTGTACTGCGTTGCCAAGAGGCAAACCCAAGTGTCTTTGAGCAAGTTATTCATCCTCATGCTGCCTCAGTGTCTTCGTCTGTGAAGTGAGACCAACACATTAGCTTACTTTATAGGATTATTGTGAGGTTTAATAAGTTAATGTATGTAAAGTGGATGGAATGATACCTGAAACATGTTCTGTAATTTGCTAATATGACTCTTTCTTAAAACTTTAGTTAGCAGTTAGGAACTGGACTCTGAGGAGCCCCCAACATCTCAGTTTGCCACTTACTGTGTTACCTTAGCTAAGTAACTCCACTTCTCTCTGCTTCCGTTTGTTCATCAATTAAATGGAGATATTATTAACCCCAATTCAATGGGTTATTGTAAAGTTTAAACACCCAGTATTTTACATACACAACAATTTTAAATTATCTAACAAAATGTAAGAGGAACCAAAGGAAGTATTCTAGAATAAAGTATATGTTTTATGTGCTAACATTTTTTAAACATTAACAAAATTTGATGAAGCTTTTCTAAACATTTTGTTATCTTTCTCTGAATTCTTAAACAAAGAATATTGAAGAAAATGTAACATTTTGGTGACTGGGCTTATTTATCATTTCAACATCAGAGTTTGTATCCTGAATTTTTTCAATGCAATGCTGTCGAGATTTAGCAAGGTCTTCAGAATGCTTGTCTTAACACAAGCTCTTCTTCTTACGTTTTTGGATTGGGTTTCTGTCGTTTTTCTGTCTCTCACCTTGCCTTCAGCTCTCTCTCCTTGCTGTTGTCAGAGTGCCTGCCCTTAGCAGTTTTTCTGATTTGCCACGTTGGCTCCTCTAAGACTGGAACACTAAACAGGCAGGTTTGTAGAGCTGTCCCCAATGAGCTGCTCTGAGGGAGGGCCTGACGGCTTCTCCCTTTGCTATGTGTGTGAACCTTGGGATGTTTTTGGCAATTGCTGGAGATATTTATTACTTCACACATAGCCTGTGAGAGTGATTTGGGGAAAAGGAAGATGCTATTGCAAATGTTTGATTCAGAATGGCTATCATCAATAAATCCAAGGTGTTGGCAAGGATGTGGAAAAAATGGGAACCCTTGTGCACTGTTGGTAGGAATGCAGAATGGCACAGCCATCCTGGAAAACAGTATGATGGTTCCTCAAGAATTAGAAATGTAATGCTTTGTGACCCAGCAATTACACTTCTGGGCATATATCTGAAGAAACCCAAGACATTCATTGGAAAGAATACGTGCACTCCATGGGAACCCTTGTGCACTGTTGGTAGGAATGCAGAAGGGTACAGCCACCCTGGAAAACAGTATGACGGTTCCTCAAAAATTAGAAATGAAAATGCCTTATGACCCAGTGATTATACTTCTGGGTATATATCTGAAGAAACCCAAGACATTAATTTGAAAGAATACATGCACTCCTATGTTTCATTGTAGTGTTGTTTACAATAGCCAATGTGCTATTGCAACCAATGTGCCTATCAATAGACAAGTGGATAATAAAAACCCACAGTGGTGCATATATACAACGGAATAGTACTTGACCATTAAAAAGACTGAGATCTTAACATTTGTAATAGCATGGATGGACTTGGAATGTATTATGCAAAGTGAGATAAGCCAGACAGTAAAAGACAAATACCATATGATTTCATTTATATGTGGAACCTAAAGAACAAAATAAATGAACAAACAAAATTAAAGCAAACTCATAGATACAGAAAACAGACTGATGGTCACCAGAGGGGTAGTGGGGTACAAGGTGGGTGAAACAGTTGAAGGGATTAATAAGTACAAATTGGTAGTTGCAGAATAGTTGCAGAGATGCAAAGTGCAGCACAGGGAATATAATCAATAACATTGTATTAACTATGTTTGGTGCTGGTTGAGCACTGGAAATATCAGGGGAACACTTCCTAAAGTATGTGATTGTCTAACCACTATGCTGTACACCTGAAATGAATACAAAATAGTATTGATTGTAAACTGTAATTGAAAAATACTATTTAAATTTTAAAAATAATAAAAAGAAAATGTTTGGGGTTTGGATAAATGAATAGGGCCTGAAGGCAGAATTGTATTCAATTCCATTCTCTTCTCATAGGCAGGGGACCTGAGCAAGCCTGTGAAGTGAGTGTGGTCAATGGGAAGGATTTGTCACGGTCCACAGCTCCTTTCACGTACACCATGTCACTGACTCCGCTCATCACCAAAATAACTCCCGAGAGAGGCAGTACAGCAGGGGGCACCAGACTTACAGTCATGGGATCAGGCTTCAGGTACTGTCTTCACTGCACAAACATCAACGCCTGTTTCCAGACTCAAGCCACCCTGCCTGCTTCCTCATAGGCCAGGACAGTGCTTAAATACAGTCAAGTAAAGTGTACCCAACTGCTCGAGAGTGATGCTTGAGGCACATCATGGTACTAAAAGCTAACATTTACTGAGTACTTCATCTGTGCCAGGCACCTTCTACCCCACTGCAACTTCCCTTGTTAGATCTTTTATCCCATCTGTGGTTAAGAGACTAAGATTACAAAGGTTAAATAACTTGCCCCAAATCCTAGTAACGTCACAAGTATAAATCACCTTCTTGCACTTTCCCTAGTACCTCATGTCCAACCATGATCAGCTTCCATGAAACATAACTTCATGCTTTAAGACCTTTTCATTGTAATGGGCCAGATTCTCTTTTCCTAAAAGATATTCATTATTTAGCACAAATGTATGTACTGCTTCATCATTTAACTGAATAAGGCTGACTTCAAAATGCCAGCTCCTTCAGATCACAGAAAGAAATTTTACATGGAGATGAAGTTCTGAAGTCTGTGAATGTGGTGAAAATGTCACATAGACAAAATGATCCCTGAACATCTCTAACAAGGCGCCTGCTCAGAGACCCACATAGAATATCTCAATAACTTGAACCTAGGTAGTTTTTTCTCCAGCACTAGAATACCTTCTAGGTTGTACAGTTATAATTCCTCACCTTTTTGGTGTGTGTTTTTCCTTTTTTCTGAAAAAAAATATTTTGAAGTCTTACTACTGAAAAATGTTTCAATCTGTTACTTTGATGGATCATAGGGTGAGATCATTAGTTTCGCAATAATGCGTATGTGACCTAGAAATTTGAAAAAAAATCAATATTTTATATCCCCCCCTTTTTTCTTTACAGTGAAAATACACAGGATGTTCACGTCACCATAGCTGAAACCAAATGTGATGTTGAGTATTCCAATGAGACATGTATCATCTGCATGACAAATGCCCACACTCCTTCAGGGTGGGCTCCCGTGCGCGTCACCGTGGGAAGCATGGGGATGGCCAAACGGGTGAGAATGCTGCTGGGTGTTGTAACCACAGCGATAGGAAAACTAGCCTCTCGGACGTGAGGTGATTGGCAATGAACTTTTTACTTTGTTAATGTCTCCAAAAAAGAACTGAGCTATGGCTATCATATGGTTATGTGTTTTTGGTTTGGGTTTTTTGCTTATTACTAAAATTTTATTGTTTCCAATTATTTTATTATTTAATTTAAATGTGGGGTAATCAGTAATGATTTTTGTTACTTTATTATTACTGTGAAATCAACCAATAGGCAATTATAAAATACTCAAAGCAGGTTATACTTATTATTAATGAAAATGTTTATCATTTTCAGTTTGTTCTTTTTTCAGAAGTTGTATGAAGAATTCTGATAAAACCTCCACATTGACGAGTCTCCCGTGTTCCGTTGCAGGAGAAGGCTGACTTCCTGTATGTCGATGCTTGGTCCTCCAACTGCACGTGGGGAGGGGAGCCTCCTCCGGAGGAAGGGTCGCTGGTCGTCATTCCGAAAGGACAGACAGTTTTGCTGGATCAAAACACCCCTGTTCTGAAAATGTTGCTTATTCAGGGTAAATTTCTGAAAATTGGAATATTTCTGTAGTTAATTGAACCCAAACTCATTATTATAAACATCCATAGTCATATCATGTTTTTATGTGGAGTGCAGTACTGAGTTCTTTAAATTGAGTATCACAGTCCACTTGTGGTATGGAACTATTTAGTGTATTGCAACCAGAATGTTTTGATGAAATACAATAGAAAATATCAGAATATATTGCATTCATATGAGTAAGCATCTTTTAAAGCTAAATGTTATTTTAAGAAACTTTTGTTCAGTAACTGTGTGTGTGTGTGCGTGTGCACACGTGTGCATGCCTATACTCTTGCAGCGTTATTTTAAGAAACTTTTGTTCAGTAACTGTGTGTGTATGTGTGTGTGCGTGTGCACATGTGTGCATGCCTATACCCTTGCAGTGGAGCACAACAGTCAGAGGTATTTCCCATTTAGAAAAACACTGATTTCATGGGTCCCAGAGGTTTGAAAACCATAGAATTATTTTAAGAAACTTTTGTTCAGTAACTGTGTGTGTATGTGTGTGTGCGTGTGCACATGTGTGCATGCCTATACCCTTGCAGTGGAGCACAACAGTCAGAGGTATTTCCCATTTAGAAAAACACTGGTTTTGTGGGTCCCAGAGGTTTTAAAACCATAGAAACTTATATTAAATGACCCCTGACTGCCCTTGGGTGCCAGGTTGTGATTCTTACCTACACCTTTGAACCGGCTTTGTTACCTGGAGTTCTCTCTGCTTCTTGGTATTCTGTTTTAGCTACGGGAAAGTAAATAGCCAGAACTGTTACAATTGCATGTAAAAGAAGCAATTGTCGGCAAGAGTAAAATGCTCTGGGCTTTAGTGTATACATTTTGCCATGTGGTTTTAGCTGCTCAAAGACCTTTGTGGCCTTAGTCCATTTGGCTCAGTGGATAGAGCTTCGCCCTGAGGACTGAAGGGTCCTGGGTTCAATTTCGGTCAAGAGCATGTACCTTGGTTGCAGGCACGATCCCCTGCTCTGGTCAGGGTATGCAGAAGGCAACCAATTGATATGTCTCTCTCACATCAATGTTTGTCTCTCTGTCTCTCCGTCTCTCCCACCCCCTTCTACTCCTTCTAAAAATCAATGGAAAAATAATGATGGGTGAGGATTAATAACAAAGACCTTTGTTACTTTGTTTTAGTTTTAACTTCTGGGATAGCAGCAGTGCTTTAGTTGTCTGAAGTTATTAGCTATTGAACCCTTGGACAAGTTTTCTGTCCACAAATTTATATTAGTTCTATAAAAAATGTATTGTGGTACTATCTTTAATAGCGCTATTCAGGATATACATGTTACTAGTGCAAATTATTGGATAAAAATTCAGTTAATTTAGCATTATAATAGTTTCTATAAAAATGCTTTTCTTTCATTTTAATTATTTTAATTCTTAATTGATATTTTGTAGCCCTATGTTTGTAGAACTAGAATTCATGTGGCTGACTATTAAATAACATTTAAAATAACCAATGATCAAGAGAAAAATCTGCCCTGGAATTTGATTTTCTACCACTTCCTGGGTGTTGTCTGAAGTTTTATATTTTATGTTGCCAAAGAGCGGGAGTGAAGTGACATGCAGAGTGAGAGCAAATAAGAATAAGAAATTAAAATTTAACATATAATTGAATAAATAGCTTTTAATATTAATTTCCTTTGTGATATATTTCAAAATTGTATGACTCCTAGGTGGAACTCTAATATTTGATGAAGCTGACATTGAACTCCAGGCAGATTGTTTAAAGTATTACAAATAGTAGTACATATGTCTCCTTTTTTTCCTCATTGACCTTCCACATGATCTCCCTTTCTTTTAAAAAACACAGTGTGTAAAATAGACAGTTATACCAAACTCTCACAAGTTTACCTTTGTATAGGTCTCTGTTATTTGTATAAAATCCTTTTTCTGGGAGAAAAGTTCCCAGAGAGTTCTTGTACTTTTAATGAGAAGATAACAGCATATTACAATAGAGCAGAATTTAAAATAGAGCCAATAAAACAATTCGCTCTGAGATATGACTAAAGTCAGTCAGCATACTTTCCAAAGGTCTGGCATCGTGCATTTGGCCGATTAGAAAATTTAAAGTTTATCTTTTGAAAGAAAGATACTGACAACGGAATAATCAATTCTTGAAAGAAAAGGGAGAAAAGGAAGACATTGCTTTTGACTGGTTGGAATTGTGGATATGAAGCTTGTGAAATGCCTTGCAGATTGGGACGGAAGCATCCCCCTTTCAACACAAGGCGGTCATCACCTTGCACGGGCACCTGCGGTCTCCTGAGCTCCCCGTGTATGGGGCTAAGACACTGGCGGTGCGCGAGGGAGTCCTGGATCTGCATGGTAAGGGCCTGAAGGGCTCACAGAATTGGTTGAGGAGACTTGCTAGGAACCCAAAATAATGGTCCTGATAACTTTCTTTCAGTGAAAACTTGCCAGGCTTCTCCTGTCTTTACACATTCCCTTTTTGCTTCCTTTTATCTTTTCCTTTGCTTATCCAGGGCCAGGCCAGCCCTGCATAGGATCAAGACTGACAACCAAGGCCACCCCTGGGGAGCCCTTTTGGGCCTTTTCTATATCCTTTCCACATGCTCCCTTAAAACATTTTGCCTAATTTAGCACTCACCACAGTTCATTCTGATTGTTTATGGCCTCTTCTTGAAATATAACTATACATTTAAAATTGTCCTTTTGTATAACTGTAACTATACATTTAAAATTGTACTTTTGCATAACTGTATTCTGGAAAATTATGAACAAATAACAATGATTGTGATCATGTTTGAGGTATTAGGTTAACCTATTTGAAGGAAGCATGGTGCGTTCTTTCTGTATTGAAGTATTTTATATTGCAACTAGAGGCCCGGTGCACGAATTCATGCACCAGTGGTGTCCCTTGGCCTGGCCTGCGGGATTAGGCTGAAACCGGTTCTCCAACATCCCCTGAAGGGTCCAGGATTATGAGAGGGTGAAGGCCAGGCCGAGGGATCCCCCTGGCGCATGATCAGGGCTGGGGAGGGACACGGGAGGTTGGCCAACCAAGGAGGGACTGCGGGAGGGCTCCAGGGTGTGTCTGGCCCATCTCTCTGAGTCCTGATTGGCTGGACCCCAGCAGCAAGCTAACCTACCAGTTGGAGCGTCTGCCCCCAGGTGGTCAGTGCACATCATAGCGAGCGGTTGAGAGGCCTTAGCATATCATTAGCATATTATGCTTTGATTGGTTGAACAGTCAATGGGTCAACTGGACACTTAGCATATTAGGCTTTTATTATATAGGATAATCTGTCTCTTTTATACATTTAGGATATATGAACATGATACCCCACTATGATCATAAATGCCCTGCAAAATATATATATATATTTTTTCAGACATTCATACATTTCATTTGTCCCTAGATTATCAATTTAAGCAATTTCTGTCAACAGTGACAAAGATAACAGGCCTCGGCCTGGTTAATCAATAGTGTCATACCACATTTATATTGCATTCATATAAAGAAGATGATTCTAAATGGAATAGATTGGTGCAGAAGGATGTTTCTTAAATTATGAACCCATACATGTGTAATAAACCTGATTGTTACTTGTATAAAGCAAGAATTCTACATATTTCTTTTATGAGAAAGGTATGAAATGATAAAGTTAAAAAAAAAACTTTCCTCAAGTTGATTCAATCCAGGAAAAGATTAAAATGCAAAAAGCTCTCAATAACCAAGAAAACACATTTTTAGAAATACTTGATTTGTATGTTGGTCCCAGGTCTTCCTGTCCCTGTGGTCTGGACCCGTTTGGCTCATACTGCACAGGCAGGGGAAAGGACTCTGATTTTACAAGAAGCAGTAACATGGAAACCAGGAGATAAGATTGTGGTTGCAAGCACAGGACACAGGTATGATGTCCTCAAGTTCTGATAATTTAAATTTGTAAACAAAGGTGTGTTTTTTTTAACTACATAAAAGAGGGATGATTCAGAAGGTCTACAACTATTTCATTTAAATTTGAAACCTCTAATAAAGAAACATGAACAGTCAAATATGTATTTGCCAGATGTTAACATTGTGTTGATCATCAGTGTTGTTTTCATTCATTGATTGAATTTACAATAAGAAAAATTATTAACTTGAACCTATAAGATAAATATATACAGTAAGCATTCACATAACGTAGACGATAGCTTCTGTGGCTTTAAGCAAAACAATGTACAAGGAAATAGAATTTTACCATAGGCTAATTGATATAAACAAGAGGTAAGTTCCTATGACCTCTTATCATAGCAAAATGACATTAAGTGAAATGATGTTATTGAGGACCTGCTGTATTAATAAAACATTTTGGTTGATTTTTATGGTTAGGCTCCCATGTAAGATTTTGTTTGAGAAAAAGCATTCTGCTATTATAAGTCATTTGAAAACTTCTGACTTAGAGCTTTAGCCAAATACATTAATGCATGCAAAAATGTAAATGATTGTTTGTGGTCACTAAAGAATAGGGTTGAAAGCAGTCAGTGAACTCTTTGTTATCTTTCGTCTCAGCAGTGGTTCCCATGGACCAAACTTTTTAGGAATGATTGAATAAAGGGAAAGAAATCATTATAGAATGAGTGATGACTAACATGACCTTTTAGATGTCTGACATTTTATAACTGAAACTGTTTATGACCCTCGGTTTCTGTTTAATTATATATTTTAGCCAATAAGACATAACAGGAAGAAAACTAATATTGCTAACTACATTATACCAGAACACTGATTGGGGAGGGAGCCAAGAGGAGCTTTATTTTTGCTTCACTGTTCAAATTGTGGGTAATGGCAAAATTGGATATCAGGGAACAAATAGTAATTTCTGATAAGAATCAGCTAAATTATGCTAAGGTCGTGACTCAATTTAGAATTAAAATTTAAGATGGCATTTTTAGTTTGCCATTTCATTGGTAAATCCTATTTGAGAGTTTATAAAGCAACTGGTTAAGAATACTACTTCAAAGTCCGTCTGTTGACTCTTACTCCCACCAATACCATTTGTTAGGCTTGTGGCCATATTATGTTGCTTCTCTGGGCTTCAGTAAAATTGTATTGCTGTAAATTTATTTAGTTGCCCTAAGAAAATGAAATGCCATCTTCAAATTTCTCTTCAGAATATTGAATGACAAAAATATTTTCTGATTCACAGATATAAGTGTTCTAAATAGCATAAAATACACCAAAACAATGTTATGTTGATTTACATTAATTTTGAAATTTTTTTGTTAAAATTTTTATAGACACAGTCAAAGAGAGAATGAAGAAAGGACCATCGAATTTGTGTCTGCTGATGGCATAAGCATAACGCTGACTCACCCGCTGAATTACACACACTTAGGAATCACTGTCCCCCTTCCTGATGGAACTCTGTTTGAAGCAAGGGCAGAAGTTGGAATTCTTACAAGAAATATTTTAATAAGAGGATCTGATAATGTGGAGTGGCATCACAAAATTCCAGCATGTCCTGATGGATTTGACACAGGTAATTTTAGTAAATTTTAAGTGTGACCATTTAAAATGTTTTCAGATATTGCAAAAATATTCCCAGGAGGTAAAATCACCTCCAGTTGAGAACTTCTGGACTAAGTTATGCTCTAGCTCATGATTTAAAATGAAAAAGGGTTATTTCTCACTGATACTACATATGTCCAATATGGGTCAACAGGGGTGCTCTGCTTATGGCAATTATTCCAGGTTCTAGGCTGATGAAAACTCCATCTCAACCTGGACTTTGGGAATCTCTGAGACAGCACACAAGATGGCTGGATCAACTAATTACTTTGGTCCTAAAGTGACAGGTGTCTCCTCTACTCAGGTGCCATTAGTCAGACTGATTATGAAATGCTTAACTTTGCACTTTAGTCACTAGTACACAAAGAGAACTGGATATGATGTTTAGGGTTCTCACATAAGAGAACCTTAATGATGTTTACCACAGCATGTGGCACAATGTGTTTTACAAGTCTAATATTTTATGTAATCACTAATACCATCGCAATCCTATAAGCAGTTGAGTAGTAACAGATACAGCCTTTTCTTCAATGAGAAGTATAAATAAGGCAAAACTCACTGGATTCGATTTCAAAAGACTTACATTCTAATTGTAATTGCCAACCAAGAAAAAGTTCAGGCTGCAATGAAGAAAAAAACACAAAACATTTACTTGAGCAAAAGGATTGCCATCAGGGAGACACTTCCAGATAGCAACCCAAACGGTGTTCTGAGAACAAAGAAAGGCAGGATTTAGAAAGACAAAAACCACACAATGTAATTCTTTCAGGCAAATGAAGGATTGCTAGCTAGGTTAACGGATTGGTTAGTTCCAACATGCAAACGGAGGGGGTTGGAAGAGAAAAAGTACAAGGAGAAGGTAAGGTCCACATGTGTCCACACAGCAGTTGTTCCAGGATGTTTATGGCTCAGCCTTGAGCTGAGTTTGGCAACAGGGTTATCAAGTTAATAGCAGCTCTGAGAACTGAAGCACAAGATGTGCAAGGGCACATACCCCACTTCCTTAATAGCCTCCTGACTGTATTAAGTGACTCTCTTGGCAATGCTTATTCCATTCTACTTTTTTTTTT